TATATATGTATATATATATATATACATATATAAGTTTGTGATTTTTCTGTCTACAGAAGGACTTCTTGTCTCTGGAGCTGTCAGAGGGCAAGGTGAAAGTGAACTTTGACCTGGGCTCAGGGGTTGGCAGTGCCATATCGACCAATCGCCACAATGACGGAAGCTGGAAATCCATCACCATGGCCAGAAACAAGAAACAAAGTACATCAGAAACTACACAACAATCCTGGAGATCCTGGAGTGAAATAAGTGTTGGAGTAAAGATGTTTTGTTGATAATTGATCTGTCTTTTTTAACCCAGCCACGGTGACTGTCGTGGACATCAACACCAACGCCGAGGAGAACATTGTAGCCACATCTCAAGGTTCAGCGACCGGTCTGAACCTCAAGGAAAACCAGAAGATATATTTTGGAGGTCTGCCGACCATCGGGAACTACAGGTACCAACACCAGGTGTTAGTTTATGGTTGGAAACATTCTCTGTTTGTAACCTTTTTCATTGACAAAACTGACATTTTTACTGACCAAAAATGTTCTCTTGTCTATATTTAAATATGAAATGAGATAAAAAAAAAAACCAAAACAATATTGTGACATTTTCCAATTTCTGTCCAAATGTGTTTTGTCTTAACAGCATAAAAGCCAGGTAAATAAATGACATCAAATGAATCATGTTGAACCCTAGTATAGAAAATATGCCACTCCTCAGTAACTCACTTGTGCATGAGGCTCAGACACGCTGACGAGGCCGAGGAGCTTTGATAGCTGCTGCTGCTTATCCACCGTTTGGCTTCTTATTCACTGTTCCATCTGGGTTTGACTGAGTTTCCCTGTGCAGTTACAAATGTGGAAAGTTGTTCTTCTGCTTAGAATAGGTCCATTTGGAGCATTTTTAGTTGGAGCGTGAATTTTCTCCCCTTATCCAGTCATGATTTAAAGATTGATTCCATTAGAAAATGAATGAAAACTATCATTATCTAAATATATAAATATGGACACACAGCATATTCAGATTATTCCTTTTGTAGCATTCACTCTGCTTCTGGATACGTGATGCAATAGCTTCACTGCTGCTGTAATTCAGCTCATGCTACTGCAGCTGAGGGACAACAAAGTCTGTGGAATCAGTTCACTATTTTTATCCACTATTTTTAAATTCTAAAATATTTCATTTTTCTTTTCCACTTCAGATCAGAGATTACGCTGAAAAGATACGCAGGTTGTCTCCGGGAGATCGAAGTTTCCCGGACGCCCTATAATCTCCTCAGCAGCTCAGATTACACCGGCGTGACTAAAGGCTGCAACGTGGAGGTGAGATGTTGGACGGTGGATTTGACGCCCGACGAGAGCCTCTGACTCATACACTGATAGAGATATTAGAGCGTCCGTCATGTGAGTTTAGCGTTCAAGTCCTCCGCAGCAGCTGAACCCAACACGTCCGCCTCCTCACTCTCATCTTTATGCAGAATCTCCCCCTTACCCTCACCCATCACAGTTGCCTTCTACAGTTTTATGACACTTTTTTGACAACTTTCTGAGTATTTTGTTACGTCTGAAATTGCAGATTGAAAAACGCTTAAAGGTCAGTGCTCCAGCAGCGCAGAGCGCCAAAAAATAACAGTTTCTCACTGGAAAGTAAAGAAAATCTGATTGTCTTCAACTGAAGCAGACACTTCATCATCATTCTGTTTTTTTTTTCTAAAATGCCACTCCTGAAGTGCTGTCTGACAGAATGTGGGACAGAGAGATAGACTGGAAACAGACATCTGTAGACCCTCCAAAGTAGACCCTCGGCTCAAAATCATTCCATTTGGAACCTTGGAAATTTCATTACATTTTCCCTCCGTTTCCTCGTGTTCATGTTTCCTCCAGGTCACTCAGGTATAAATGAATAAAAATCATTTGAACAAAGTTGTTATTTTACCTTTCAAATGAGTGCCTTTCACAGTTATTCCTATATATTCTACTATTTATGCATTCATTCGTGCAGCCACGGCTTAGAAAGAACACAAAGGAGCCGGGGTTGGAGGGCCGCTCCGGTGAAGGTCCCTCTGTCTTTTTTAATATCAGCAGATTCAGCCTCAGTGGTGGCAACAAAAATTAGCCTCAGTGTGAAACTGAAGGTAACTGTGAAAAAATAAATTAAAAAATAAGTATTTCATCAGCCAGACTCACAACAGAACTTTTCCCCCGTATTTAATCACCAACTGATCTGGTCTGACTCTGACTCTGACTCTGACTCTGACTCTGACTCTGACTTCTTCTCTGGAACAGAACCTCTACACTGTGAGCTTCTCTAAGCCAGGATACATGGAGCTGAGTGGACTCTCGCTGACCGTGGGCACGGAGATCAGCCTGTCCTTCAGCACTCTGTCAGACACCGGGACCATCCTGTTGGCAGTGGGCGGAGCCTCACCCCAGGGCCTGCAGGTTCTCCCTCATCTGGTTTTATCTTTTGACTGAAGCGCTGTTGGATTGATATTTATTTTAGGATTTCATTCATCTTGTACTTTGGTTCAGTCTGGGCTGTCAAATGATTAGTCACGATGAATTAATTGATCCTTATAAACCCCATTTAACCCTGATCCATGCAGGTAAATGAACATGCCTCGTTATATTAACTTAAATGAATTGACATTCAAAGGTCAAACAAATAATAAAAATAAAGTGTTGGGGTCTTTAAAGTAATTGTGATTACTGCTAGAATTACAAAACATAGATAATTTTATCAAATGATGTTTCATTAATAAGTAACCAGTAAATAAACTAGTAAAATAAAATGTTTTTTTTTACATTTTTTCTCTCTGTGCCACAGACTCGTAACACAAACGCCTTTGGCTCCAAGAGGAGACGTCGGCAGTCAGGAGAGGTGGGTACATCTGAAACTTCAGTACACACAAGTACTACAAGTACTGTCCTACTGCTTCAAGTGAATTACTTTTTCATAAGTGTAAAATTAATCGGATTTGCATTTGTGGACATTAGGGACTAAGTGGATTGTCTCTTATCCAGAACAGCCACACACACTGTGGACAAACAGGTTTACACACCCACCGACACCAAGTACACACAAGTACACACAAGCACACGCATGCACCGCAGCCTCCTGTGAGTGAGTGAAGTTTCCATGAGTGCATATTAATGAGATTTCAGTTTGTTGGCAGTTAAGCTGATTAGATTTTCTCTCAGCTAAAAACAGTCTCCCTGACCAACGCAGTCTCCGTCTCTGAGCTGCTCTGGACTTCAACCAGGAAACAGGAAATAATTATGCAGAACTAAAAATAAACAAAGCTGTCTGAAACCACTCAACATTACTTTTATAGATGTGTTATAAAAGTAAACAGGCGACAAAAAAAAACAAAACTTTTAGCTCGTTGAACGAGCTACATGTAGCTCAAGAATCTCTTCTTGAGAAAATGTCACGTCCACTTGTCTAACGGAACTGAATCTCTTCTTGAGAAAATGTCACGTCTAACGGAACCTTTTAGCTCGTTAGCTTCACGAGTCATACACAGTATATTTACCGTATTCTTTGGACAATAAGACACACTTTTTTTTGTTTTATCCTTTGGATATGTTTGGGAACTCATGTTCGATCTATATGTTTAAATATATAATTTCTCGTTTGTTTTTTTCACACCAACAGCCGCTAGAGGGCACTGGTGCGACTCATATATGTTTCTTTAATTTTTATACCATGTAATTAGCTGTAGATTTTGACCAATTTTTATTTTGGCAGTGATACTGTTTACTGGGACAGTACTGCAGTATAAAGTACATGTTCAGTCGTTCTGATCTTCATCTTCAGCCTCACGTTGACGTTGATGTTGACGTTGACGTTGTTTAATATATGAATTTCCTGCAGTGTAAAAATACAGTCTCAGTAAAATCTCCTTTGCCTACGTGCATACATTTTGGATGTGTGTGTTTGTGTAAGAGGACAGAGGTTAGCTCGGGCTTATCCATCATCACTGGTTGTTGGGCACATTAATCTATTTTTGCTAACTATGCTGGCAGGCAGGGTGTGTGTGTGTGTGTGTGTGTGTGTGAGTGTGTGAAAGGTTAAGGGAGGTTAAAAACACCATCAACTCAACTTGGCCCTGACTAATGGATGTTTGAGAGAGGGACAGAGAGACGGAGACAAGAGACAAAAGGATGAAGGGAGAGAAGGGGGGAAGATTTAAAGGTGAACGAAAGGATAAAGGAGTCAAAACAGAGCTGAGGGGAGGAGAGGGGAAGGGAGGAGAGGGGAGAAGAGGAGAGGAGAGGGATGAAGAGGAGAGGGTGGAGGGGAGAGGAGAGAGAGGAGAGGGATGAAGAGGAGAGGGCTAAAATGTGACTGTGTGGAGAGCGTGGTTGCAGACAATAATGAAGTGAATGAAAATACAGCAGATACTTGAAGGAGGAGACGAGCATTAAAGAAAAAAAAAGTGAGGTGTAATTGAATGTGTTTCTTCTGTGTTGATCAGAGAGCAGCACTTTATAAGATCTGAGTCTCCGTGTCCTCGCCGAGAGCACCTCCACTTCCTGTCTGTGCTCAGATGAAAGCCGAGGCTAATTACTGCTGTAGCTGCAGAGATTTTACCAGGGTTTAGAAATCCTGTCAAAGGTCCAACCTGGATCACAAAGAAATGGATTTTCAAGTTAATATATTGTTCGATTGAATGTTTTTTACGGTGGAGAAACATGAAACATGACGTGCACCAGTGTTACCTGTGCTGATGGAACAGGTTCTTCTAGAAGTCAGGTCTTCTCCGACTCCGCTCCAGACTTGAACCTTCCCTCTGACCTGATCGTTCCTAATCCTGTCCATTATACTCCATCCCAGTAAACCATTGGAGTTCCATCAGCGGTCTAGGCCTGTAGTCAGGAGCTGCTATCCCAGTGTAGAGGAAGGGATTTTAAATTTTATGTAATTGTATATATATAAGATATTACAGGCCTTAAAAACTTGTCACGGCGATATCTCTACTGCGTTTTTACCAGTTCGTAGAAAAGTAGTAGTAAAAAAAAAGTCTGTTTGTCATGGCCAGAATCTTCTGCCAATCACTGGTCAGTTTACAGACTCTGTTTAGTGTGTGTCCAACAGGACCGTCTTCTTCTGTGGTAACGTTGTAGACCATTTTAGTGACTTTGTTATGAAGAGTTGGAGCGTGACTTCAAAACCATGTCAGTGTGAAAAAGCACACGCGTTGGTTCATCTGTGATTCTGTAGACGCAGGTTGGTTTGCAGGACACGTGTTTGAAACTGCTGTGTGTGTGTGTGTGTGTGTGTGTGTGTGTGTGTGTGAGACGGCAGAGCGAGAGGCATGTTGTAGCTACATCTCAGTTCAATTTGTCCCCGACCTCAAATTGAAATTCCATTTTCAGGTGGTAAATTGTCTCCCACTTCGCCCTCTGGCACACAGTGAATTAAAATTCAAATTATCCTGACCCTGCACCGCTGCTCTCCGCCACCTCGCGCTTTCTCTCCCGCCCCTTCTCCGTCTCTTCTCCCTGCTCTCTGCCCTCTCATCTCTCCCCCCATTATCCTCTCCTCTCCGGTCCTCTCATCTCTTGTTATCCCTCCCTCCCTCCCTCCTCCCCCTCTGGCTGCTCCTCTCCTGCTTCTCCCACGTCCTCCTTCTGTTTCAACCCCAGTTTTCTTTTTACCTCTTCTCTGCTCTTCAGTTTGTCTTTTTCTCTCCTGCTAATCTTATTCAAACACTGACATGAATAATGACGTGGATTCTGCTCTGATGGACTGTCATACGACACAAGCCTTTGGAGCCAGAACTGGAGTTCTGAAAATGAGTTTGAATTATATTTGGGGACAACACTGTCAGACACTGAGCTTTTGTACAAAGCAATTCATTGTCACACACACACACACACACACACACACAGTATCTCTGTGGAGGAAGATTGTACACAGGAGTGAAATACTTCATGGATTTCATTTAAAAAAAAAAAACAAGGTCAAAGTGATTGAAGTGTTAACCCTTTACGAACCCTCCAGGGGGCATCGTAGAGCTCGAAATATGGCAAAAAACTTTCACAAATCTCATTTACCTGTACGTGCAGGTGATTTATTGTAACACCATGTGTTAAATGTCTTTTAATTTACTATTTTTTACTGGGTTTTTTTTTGATGAACCAAAACTCTGCAATACAGGAACACATTTAACGTATTTATAACACACTCTGTACAGTGGACCCCTGAGATATGAGCTTCCAGAAACACGAGTATTCCATGTTTACGAGTCTGTAACTATTGCAGGATTTTGCTCCTGATACGATGGAAATATCAACAACGAGAGCTGCTGTAGAACGGACTGAAGTTCTAACTCCGTGAGGTTCCTCCTGGTGTCATCACGCCTCCTTCGTCTCCTTCTTTATGTGTAGAGACTGTGGTTGTGCTGACAATAAGCCCTGTGTGTGTGTGTGTGTGTGTGTGTGTGTGTGTGGTTCCTGCAGCCCTACCTCTCAGTCATGCTGAACAAAGGCTCCCTGGAGGTGCTGGTGTTTACCGGCAGCCACAGCCCCCGCCGTGTCATCAGACGACCTGAGCTGGGAATCCTGAATGATGGGAAGGAGCACTCGCTTCGCATAGAGAGACTGGCTGGAAGGTTGGTCTCCACCTCATACACGCACCGTAGGAGTTACCGTGACCACATCTGCCCTGTGTGAAGTTTAAAAACACACCTGATGTTTGAAGATTGGTGTGTGTGTGTGTGATTAACATACGGTCTTGTCCGTGTGTGTGTGTGTGATTGTGTTACTAGATCATTCGCTGTCCAAGTTGATGAAGAAGCCAAGAGAGAGGCGACCCTTCCCAACGACCAGCCAATGGCCTTGCAGCGTGTCTTCCTGGGCGGTATTCCCGTGGCGGTGGAGCAGACGTCCAACAGAGCCAACGTCCCGTTTGAAGGATGTATTTGGAACCTCATGGTCAACGCCGTGTGAGTAACACGTGGTTTAAACACGTTCATCAAAAACACACATCAACTGCATGTCCATCTGTCACGGCTCATCCAACCCCTGGTTCGAGGACTGTTACCGGTCCGTGGGTCATTTGGTGCTGGACCACGGTGAAAGAAATGTTTCAGATGTTTTAAAAATGTGTTGGGCCACGGTGAAAGAAATGTTTTAAAAAAAGGATCTTCCAAACTCTAATACCACCAGAATTAAGTCTAAACAATGTTTTATTTTGAAAAGCTACGGTAACAGTCGGCACGGGGCCACCTGCAGGACACACTTGTGACCTACACTTGGACATAGAGCGATTAGAAAAATACAAATATTTATTTACAGAATATTTTAATAATAACCACCATGTAATTCATTCATAAAAAACAGAAATACATAAAAACTTTGACTCATTAAACATTTATGCATGAAATTATTTTTTTAAAAGTCTCAACTTTGAGCCGGTGGGTGAAAGTGACGGAGGGAGAGCAGTGTTTTTTTTTCACATTGACTCGTTAAACATTTATGCATGAAATAATTTTTTTAAAAGTCTCAACTTTGATCCGGTTGGTGAAAGTAACGTGGGGCAGACGGAGGGAGAGCAGTGTTTTTTTTTTTACAGCTTCATAATTAAAAAGATAAAAAAGTTCAACTTTTGTATTTATTACTCAGCTTTTGGACCTATCGATCGGCCCAGTCTGCCCTTTTACAAAACATAAACAATAACAACGGCCGTTCAGCTCCGACCGTGGTTTGACTGGCCTTAAGGCCGTGGGGGCCTCAGCTGTCAGTGCTGGACTAACACCCCCGTGGTGTGGACTTATTGCCCGTCTGTGTTGCAGCGTGGCCGACTTCTCCCAGCCCGTGTCCTTCGAGAACGCTGAAATCGGCCGGTGTCCCAACCTCGCCCCTGAAGCGCCTCTCCTTCCTCTGCCCCCCCTGACTGAAGTGGAGGAGGAGGAGGCCCGGCAGCCCGAGACGCTTGGTCCTCCTCCAACCCCAACTCCTGCTCCAGGTCCGGAGCCTCCTGCTGTAAGTGTCTGTTACTACAACTACTGAACGTACACTGTTCTGTAAGGGCCTTAGAACCCTGTCTCTGATTGGATGATGACATTTACCAAGTAGTGTAAGATGGACATTACACAGTACTGTATATTTCTGAATACTTCAACTCATCCCTATAATTCAACACACACATATTTACTGTAAACACACATGAAGCACCTTTAAAATCAACACACACACACATGCTGTTTGTAGGAACATACACACACGTCCTTCTGCAGGATGTTGGTTTTTTTCTGCCTCTGACTCACACACACACACACACACACACACACACACTTCCTCCTGTTTCCTCCTGATGAACTACAGCCGTGGCCTCGCCGTGTTAGCTTAGCGTTTCATCATGCAGCACTTGTACAGGCCATTAACTTTTCTTTATCGTGCCTTTAGCCTTGAGCCACTAAACTCTGCCTCTGGCAGCCTGTCATACAGAGCACCGCCACTACGCTACGCTAACTCTGCATGCCATTTATGCTTTATGAGCCTGCAGGTGCCAAAGCACTCTCGTGCTAGCGTTTAGCCGCCGCCGTGCTAGGAGGCCGCCGGGCCGTAATGGAACAGGCCAGATGTATTTCATGGATTTAATATATTGTGAGTTCTACGGCAGTCGGAGGTTATCAGTTACCCAGTTAGCTGCTAAACCGAGCCGCTGAAAGTACATTGATCACGGACCGTGGAGCTAAAGAGCTGCGCCGGCGTGGCCATAACTCTGTGGGTTGTTGCTTTATGGCGTGCGAGTTCATTTGCTTCATGATGTAGAGGTGCAGCTCTGCAAAGCCATAGTTTTTCAGCCCTACCTCAGGCATGACCAAACTGTTCCTCAAAGGTGTGGCTGCAGGTTTTTGTTCCAACCAACCAAGAGCACAGAGTTTGACCAATCAGCTGTCAGAAGACTGAGACCAGTTCAAGCCATAGTTTTTCAGCCCTACCTCAGACCAAAGCCCCCCCCCACATTTATATCTGATCTGAGATGGAAGAGGAGGCTGTGTATGACAGAGTGTCTGCACAGGGAGGTGTGTGTTACCCCTGCATTTGGTTTATCTTTCTTTAGGAATTAAACATTTTATCGACTCTGTAGAGAAGACGTAGACAGCCCTCCGTGTTAGCCCTCCATGTTAGCCCTCCGTGTTAGCCCGCTGTATTGTGAATTAATCCCTCAGATGGAGCTATTTGAAGTTAGTAAAGCATCTGTTAGCTTCCTGTCGATCTGTTAGCTCCCTGTCGATCTGTTAGCTTCCTGTCGACCTGTTAGCTTCCTGTCAATCTGTTAGCTCCCTGTCGATCTGTTAGCTTCCTGTCGATCTGTTAGCTTCCTGTTGCTCTGTCGCTGCTGCTAATCCACTTCCTCTCAATTCCACAACTGCTGACCTACAGGAGGCCACGCCCCCTGCTCCTCCTGCTGCTGCTACGCCCTCTGCTGCTACAGCCCAGACCGCTACTACACAGGATCCCAGCGCTCACCTGGTACACACACACACACACACACACACACACACTCACTCCAGTGTAAATGTAGTATTTCGGTGATTCCTGTATTTCCCCACCAGGGCGTAGAAACACGTAAATTCCAGATCTGTTATTTTTGTAAATCCACCGTCTGTTGCTGTCAGTGTTGCACATCGGTGACTCCGCAGGTCAACAGCTGAAAGACATAGAAACCAAGTGCTGTTGCGCTGCTCTTCAGCCGCTGAGGTCACGGCCTCACTCACGATGAAAGAGGAGAAACCGTCGGCATCAAATGCTCTTAACGCTGAGGTGTTGGAGGAGTCGCTGACCCAGATCAGAGCTGGAGCGCTTCAGGTGCTTCCAACACCGTTTGCCTTCTAACCTGTGGCTGTGACTTAGTGTTGGTGAGAGCTGCCTGGACTGAGCAGTGGTGCCGGCTCAAAGGTGGAGCGTTCAAGAACCTTCTTTAAGTGGGGTTCATTTTTGTTGTTGTTGTTGTTGGAGGATCAGATTTCGAGATGACAATGACACACACACACGTTCTAAGACAACTGTTGTACTGTGAGATTTCAGCCTCCCTGCAGGGGAGACGAGGAAATGAATTTGTTGCATTTCTGAATTCCTCCTTCATATCCCACCTGAAGCATGACCTCAACAAGAAAAAGAATGGGACTGAATGACTTCAGATTACTGGTGTGACCTCCAGCCACAGAGCAGTGAGTCTGAATGGAAGAAAATCACAGAGGAGAAGAAGAAGAAGAAGAAGAAGAAGAAGAAGAAGAAGAAGAAGAAGAAGAAGAAGAAGGCAGATTAAAAGAGAAATGAAAGACAGAAAGGAAAGGTGCAGCCACGGAGGGAGAGAGGGGAGTCTCTCTCTCTCTGTCTCTCTGTGTCTCTCTCTCTCTCTGAACCCTCTGCCTTTTACCTTTTGTTGTCTTAATGGAAAGACGGAGGAGAGGACGTGGGATAAGAATTAAAGTGGGCCGAGGGAGAGAAGCTCCGGAGCAAGTGATGTGGCTCCTTTGTTTGACAGTAGAAAGGGGAGAAAGGAGTTTTATAAAATAGAGGGAGGAGGAGCAGATCTGAGGACAGAGCTGGAGAAGAGGTGAGTGTCAGCTGTAACAAAGCAAGGTCACAGAGAGAGGAATGTCTTCACCTGGACGGGAACAAGGGAAGAGGGGAGATGAAGGCAGACGTTCAAGACACACTCGGAGGGAGACACTGCATCATCTCAGGGGGCTGAGTGTCCGAGATCTGATCCTCAATGTCCGGAGGGGGAGGCCGGGGGTGAGGGTGGGAGACGAACTGTGAAGGATGATGAAGGGGGATGATGAAAATGCAGGTGTTGGAGCTGCAGGAAGACGAGGACGAAGACGAGGGATTTGACTTGTGTTGCAACACTGACATCTTATGGTCATACGTGGAACTGAAGCTCAGTTTGTAAGAGTGCTTGAATGTCATTTTGGTGGAAGTTACTGCCTGCCTTTTAGAAGGTTGTGGGTTTGATTCCACCCAGTCTTCAATCCCAGTTTACAGTTAAATGAGTTAATAAGCTAAAGATGATGTTAAAGTGAATTTTCTAAATAATTTCTACACAGCAGAAATGAACCGTGAGATAGATATTTTTGATATAAAACGAATTTTTGGAAAACAAATTCAACTAAAAATGAAGACACTTCTCGTAGGTTTAGTCAAAAGTAGTTTATAATTCTACTAAAACTCCAGGAACTATCTGATATGAAGCTGGTTAGCTAACGGCTAGCTGATAAATGTCACTACTGTCAGTGTGAGTGACGTGTTGTGTCCAAACTCCAGGACTCCTGTGAGTCGGCCGCGGCTCCCGTGGCCCTGAAGGAGGCCCATCAGTTCGGACTGAGCCGGAACAGCCACATGAGCTTCGCTTTTGACGACACCAAAGTCAGAGAGAGGTAAATAATCAGGACTGTAGTGAATGAACCTGAGGACAGAAACATGGCCTACACTGTGTGTGTGTGTGTGTGTGCGTGTGTGTACGTTGCTTCCTTCCTGCAGACACCAGCTGTAAATAATAAGAAAGTCAGAACTGAGGTTTTTTTTTTTTTTAACAGACCCTTGTAAATATCTAGAGTTTTGGCTGCTCTCTGAATAAATGACAGGAAGTGTCGTCATCCTTTTCAAAGTCCTGCGTGAAGTTCTTGGCATCAGGATAATTATGGTTACCGTAAACTTTAGGGTAAACGCGCCACTTTAATTTATATTCAGCTGTTTCAATGGTGAAGTTTTATTATCAGTACTCTGGCGCCCTCTTGAGGACATATGCCTCACATGTTGGACAGTAGGCGAAAGAAGAGCGAGTGTGGATGAAATGACAGACTTTTTAACTGTAACTTTAAATCGTAGGCTCATCCTGGAGTTTGAGCTGAGGACAAAGGAAGAGTCTGGACTGGTTCTGTACATGGCCAGGATCAACCACGCTGACTTTGTCTCCATCCAGGTATCTGTCCACTCCTGAGTATCTGTGTGTACTCCACAGTTGTGTACTGTGTATTTATCACTCCTTCTTCTCTGTCGTCCTGCAGATCAAGGAGGGACAGGTGTGTCTGGGTTACGACCTCGGTCATGGAAACATCTCTGGCTGCGTTCCTTTCTCCATCAACGACGGAAACTGGCACAAGGTCGACGCAGCTGTGGTTTCTGTTTTTACAGTGTTTATAAACCGTCGAATCAGGAAGTTATTCAGTTTAATGATGATAGTATTTATGATAAGGAGCAGATGGGGGGGCGTGGAGGAGGGGGGGGGTCATGGTTGTCCTCACGCTGGTTGTTTCTTCGTCTCCTCAGATCCGAGTGAGTCGTAACAAGCAGCGATGTCTCCTGATGGTGGACGGACGCTACAGTAAACAGATGATCAGTCCAAAGAAGGTAGACAAATGAAAGCTGCACAAATGTACCTTAGTTCAACGGGAGGTGGAGTTCTTGGATGGCAAAGGTTCCCAACTCCTGGTCCCTGGACCAGTCTAGGGCCCTGGAGGAATTGGTAGAAAGGACATGAATTATCTTCATGAATTATGTTTCTGGAAAAATGACCAGATTCCCTCCCTACAGAGAAATGTAGCAAAATGCTTTTCAAAATAAAAGTTTTTAAGGAGAAAGTGAACAGAGGAGACAGAAGGCAAAGTAAAACACTTTACTGAAGTAAATGTACTTTTTTTTTACTTTAAATATGGGTTTTCCAGCTGGCTGCATGAGAGCAGCACTGGATGGTGTGTGTACACAAACTTGTTGTCGTACATCTCTACATCTGTTGCTCTCCTTTTCTCCAGGCCGACCTGTTGGACGTGGTGGGGGTGTTGTACGTTGGTGGTCTACCTCAGAACTACACCACCAAGAGGATCGGACCGGTACGGACACAGACGTTGGACCACAGTTTGTTTCCATCTGTGAAAACCACAGACGTTGGACCACAGTTTGTTTCCGTTGGTGCACAGACGTTGGACCACAGTTTGTTTCCTTTGGTGAAAACAGAAAAAAAAACATGCACTAAAACAGACGTGTGTCGTCTTTCGTTTCCAGATTCTCTACAGCATCAACGGCTGCATCCGTAACATGAAGATGGTGGGCGGAGCCGTGAGCGCCAAGTCACCCACCGCAGGTAGAGAGCTGTAGTTGTGATGAAGTACTGCTACATGTTAATGTGAGTATTATCCGTGTATTACTACATCAGTGTGTCCTCCCTTCTGACCTTTTCCTCAAGGTCGCACGGAAGCCATCGTTGAAGACTTTAAACTGGACATGGCTGCGCCCAGCGCCAGTCACATGGTGGGAAGGTGCTTTGTTGCCACGGAGACGGGAACTTACTTTGAAGGCACAGGATTCGTGAAAGCGGGTCAGAACTTCAGGATTGAAGCGTGTGTGGCTGTGATTGGTTTCCAGAGGACACGTCGGTCTGAACCTGGTTTGTCGTCCTCTTGTCTTTTTGCAGTAGCTAACTACAGAGTGGGTCTGGACGTGTCCATTGGGCTGGAGTTCAGAACCAGCAGAACCAACGGAGTTCTGTTGGCCGTCAGTAACCAGGCCAGCGATGGACTGGGCCTGGAGATAGTCAACGGCAAGGTGGGAAATCATGTGTGTGAAGAGAAGAAGATGGTTGACGTGTTTGTGACGCAGTTCACTGGATGTTGATTTATAGAACTGTGTTAATGTCATAGAAACAGGGAAAAGATGTTCTTCAAATGATTAGTGAGAAGGACTGAGGTCGTAGCCTGAAAACCCAATCATTTTTTTGGTGTTAAGGCTAAAAATGTGGCTGAAATGTTGCCAGAAAAATGTGAAGAAGAAAATGACGAAAGTGGTTTCACCTGATGTTCAGCTCAACATCTACGTCTGTTCCTTCGCCTCCGTCCGCAGCTGCTCTTCCACGTTGATAACGGAGCCGGACGCTTCACGGCGGAGTACGAGCCCACGGGCGGCGGCTTCTGTGACGGCCAATGGCACTCGGTGACTGCCAATAAATTGCGCCACAAGGCGGAGTTGGTGGTGGACGGGAATAAGAGCCAAGCGGAGAGCACGAACGCTCGGTCCAACACCTGCGACACAAACGACCCTCTCTACGTCGGAGGATTTCCAAGTAAAACTTTCTTTTTCTTAAAGCAGTTTTGGTGTCACGTGTTTTTTAGTGAAGTCTTACATGAATTAGTGCAACAGGAAGTTTGTGTTAATGAAAATATAGGTTAATAGACAGGTTATGAGTTGACTAAGCCTTAGTTAAGGGTTAGTGTTAGGATTACAGTCACCATGACAGAGAAAAGATTTGTTTTTAATGAGGTTGGATGAAACTTCAGATGAAATCCTGGACTGGATGGATTCCAAGTTGGAAATATATTTGTAAATATTTGTTGAAATTAATGGATTTTGTATTTTTAGGAGTAGAAAAAGATGGTGCAACAAAATGTGCTATACTATACATGAAGATTAATAATGGCCCTGATATTGATGCACTTCAATATTTCAGCAGGTGAAGAAGTGTCCTTTAAATTGTAGACAAATAGAAATGGTTAAAAAGAAATTATGAAAAACACTGGATGTGAAATGTGTGAGAACAGATGGAGAGTGAATTAAGACGAGACGGGAGGAGCCTCACACTGGTGTGTTGTTATGATCTGTATTTATCTGACAGTTGATAACCAGAGTGAACACCAACATGTTGCTGAACTCTTTGAATTCAACGCGGCGTTAACGACGGCCTCTCCTCCTCCTCTTCAGGTGGAGTTCGTCAGGCCGCTCTCTCCACCAGCAGGTCCTTCAGAGGTTGCATGAAGAACCTGAAGATCACCAGAGCTTCCAAGACCATGGACGTCCACTTCAACAAGGCTGTGGAGATCAGAGGCGTCCAGCCTCTGTCCTGTCCCGCAGACGCCGTGGCTGCGTAACAGCGTCGGACTGTGTCCTCCTCCTGTAACCACTAACACTTTAACTGGGAATGGTTTTTGACTGTGTTTGTTTTAGGAGTGAAGAACAGCAGATGAGAATGTCAAACATGTCTGCCTGTGTTAACAGATTCTAAGATTTGGAGCATTTCTGTCTGAGAACAGGAGCAGAAATATACGTGACCTTAAAGCTAACCTCACTCTGTAACAGACCATGTGACAGTGAGTACAATGTGAAGGCAATAAAGTCTCTGCTGCAGTAAAGTAACCTGACTGTGTGTACAGTATCCTGAATGAGTTTTATGGATTGACTGGACTCCACAGTGCCCTCTAGCGGCATGTGCTGTAGTGGCAGTTTTCCAGGACAACGGAAACATGTACGAGCTCCAAGGTCTGTCATGAAGGAATCATGGAATGTATGAATATTGAAAATGTGAGGTTTCTAACGCATAACAAGGAAATAGTGAACTATGACTTTAGTGAACCAAATATATTCCAAATAAGGATAACGGTACTAAATATATGATTATAATTTATTCTTAAAATATCCTTTGAAAATGGACTTACCAAAAAAAAGCATCAAATGGAAGCTACATGCTGCCAAGTGA